GCTCGGATTAAGGGGCTGTGCTATCATTCATCAGACAAGCTGCACCCAGAACTGTTCAGCTGACAAACTGGCAACCATCCAGAAATACAGTTTTGGCTACATAGTGAAGGAAGGCAAATTTAGATTCTTTTTTCATACTGAGAAAAACATGAGCATTTGATTGAACAATTCTCCTTTATTAGACTAATTGGTTTTAATTTCGTATTTAATTGCTAAAAATACACTTAGAATAAAAGACTTACTGTGTTAATGTCTCAAAGAAGAAATAATTGGTATGGTATATTTTGTTCTATGCTAAAAGCTGCCAAGCTAAAATATTTTCAATTTATACAAGGATAGGTGACATGCATGTCAGATATTATTTTCCCTTTAAGCAAATTTATGATGAGACAAAATTATCTTCCATCAAAAATAAAAGCCATGTCAAATTAAGGGCTAAGTTATTCTGCAGACTGGGCAACAAGTGCTGAGATGTAAGGTCAGTGAGAGTAAGAACAGTCAGAGAAAGCTTCATGAAGAGGAAATTGCCTGCCAGGTCTGAATGAATGAGGCTAGATGAACAGGAACTGAGAAGGCAGGAAGGACAGCATGGGTAAAACTGGGGCTGACATCTGCCCAATTAATGCTAGGATAAAGTCCAATGGCAGAGAAATAAAAACATACATCCATACAATAACCTGTAAGTGAATGTTCACAACAGCTGTTTTCATAATAGCCAAAAAGTGGAAACAACCTAAAGGTCCATCAGCTGATGAATGAATGGAAAACTGGTGTAGCCATGAAATAGACTATTATGAGACAATAAGAAGGAATAAACTACTGATACGTGCTACAACATGGATAAAATTCTGAAAACATTCTGCTAAGTGAAAGAGCCAGTCAGAAAGGACTTCATATTGTATGACTCTGTGTATATAAAATATGCAGACCATACACATCTATGGAGACAAAAGTGGACGGTGGTTGCCTATAACTGGGGTAGGTGGAGAGACATGGGGTAGGGGTAGGTGGAGAGAGGTGGAGAGGGGTTGCAGTCATGGCTAAGAGATGTGGGGTTGCTTTTCAGAGTGGCGAAAATGTTCTAGCATTGATTGTGCTGATGATTACACAATGCTGTGAATATACTAACAGACACTGAGTTGTACATTTTAAATGGTTGAACTGTCTGACATGTGAATTATCTCTCAGTGAAATTGTTTTAAAAATCTCATGGTAGGATCACGATAATTTTCTCAGCTCTCTATTTTGGATGTACATGCTCTATCAGATCTGAATATTTTTATGCCATTACAGTATATTTTAAATGAAAGGAAGATGAAGGCAATGCCTAACTTTTCAAGTAGTTTGTGAATTAATCTAAAACGTGTGCATTTCAAAGAACAGTATGATGACCTTTCTGTACAAGTTAACCTAGAATCCATGAAATGAATAGGCACAGCTTCTGTGTCCATTCACAAAAGTGAAGAAATAAGACAACTTTCTGCAATATTCCATTAAACATTCTCCTCTGACTCAATCTGGCTTGCCTCACCAAGACAATAAGGAAATTATCTAAAAATACTGTTTAACAGGAAAAAAGTCAATTTTCTGTGAGGAGTGATTTATCATTCTCAACTTTCCCAAGAGTAAACATTGTAAGAGAAAACATATGCAACTATTTTTCAAAATGTCAGAACAAGAGCCAGAGTTGAAGAAATAAGTACGTTATAAAGATAATAAAATGGTAATAATCAATTATAATGAAATTACAAAAACAGGCTGTCCACTGAAATTAGTATCCTAAAACACTTTAAATTATTCAACCAGCTACAGATTAATGGTCTACATGTTAAATTCCATACATACTTGACTTCCTACTTGAAATAATTTCTTCTTTGAAGCCCGTGTGTCATCCAAATTAATATGACAATGTGATGTACCTTCCAGTGGAGATTCTGACATAGAAAATTTGTTAAGGTGATCAGTCAGTTCTTCTTGAAGTCGTCTCACAATCACCTGATAAAATATTTTTGTTATCAATTTTATAAAGTGCCTTATTATTAAATTATGTTAATACTATTGAACTCTAACGTACCTACTTTGAAAATTATCACCACACACATTAATTCACCTTCTTTTCATCACATGTACACACTTTTATTTATTACTGAATTCAGTGAGGGGCACAGAAGGTGTTATCTTCCTGCCAAATCATTCTCTTACATGACAGATGGATTTAGCCCACTATTCATTCATCTTAGATCCTCAACTCAACCTGAGTTCCTCACATATTCAGTCACCTATTGAAATCCTTCCAACAGATTCCTATCTCAGAATAAAAGTAAAATTCCAATAGCCTTCAAGGCGCTAGGTAACATGGCCTCTAACTCCCTCCCTGACCTCAGCTCCTACATCTGTGTCCCGTACTCACTTCCATCCCATTCTCCATGAACTCTGCCACCCCTTATTAGTCTGAAAATGGGGATTCAATGTCAAACTCATAAATCACAGACAGCTACAAGTATCCTTGTACGGGAAAGAGTTATATCTAAATGATAGCCATTGAGACTTAAAATGTAAATTATGAGCTAATTATTCATAAAATATTCACAATAAATTATAAATACCTACCAGTGGGAACATTATATCAAATTTTTTTTGCTAAAATTTGTGACATTTATTCCAAATTGTGATTTTATAACAAGTAGATGTCTTTAAAATTCTAAGTGGTCAGAAAAATGCATAATGTGAGACTGACATATTTTTAGACTTAAGTCACATTGGTATGAATCAAAACAAAGTTATACCAACCAAAATACATAAAAGAGAGAGTCACTAAAGGAAAAGCATCACAAGACACAGCAACAAACTTCACTTCATCTGGGAAATCTAGAATTAAAAGTGTCAAAGCGGCTCACTTAATTGAATCTTAATTTCAAAATACACATTTCAGGTACAAGCATTTCCATTTACCTGCTTCATTATGGTCTTAGAATGTGGCAACATAAAGACATTAAATTTATTATTTCAGTAGTATAAGACTACCTCCCTTATCAACATTGCTCTGTATCTACTAAAATTTCATAGGTGACATAATGTCTTTACTCAAAGGAAAGCATCTGCCAGTTCTACCTTTTATTTTCTGGAAACAAAGTATGTTTCCAAGCTGATACAGTAAACATATTTTTTTGGTTTTGTATTAAAACAGCTTTGTGGAAATATGATTTTTATTAAAACAGCTTTGTTGAAATGTGATTTATAGAATTTATCTGTTTTAACAAACAGTTCAAAGATTTTTAGTAAATTTACTGTGTCGTGCAACCATCTCTACAATCCAACTTTAGAACATTTTCATCACTCCAGGACAATCCCTCATGCCCATTAGCAGTCACCACCCATTTCCAGCCCCAGCCCTACACAAACATTAATCTTCTTTCTGTTCCTATACATGTATTTCCTGGATGATTCATGTAAATGGAATTATACAGTATGGTAAACACATTTTCATCTATTTATTTTTATATTGAACTAGGTTCAACATACAGCCAGAATGAAATGCTTAAATTTCTTTCCAGAAGGTTAAAAACAGTTTTCTTCATACTTACTTCTCCTTCTGCTTCTTCTTTTTCATACTGAAACAGTTTTTCTTTTAAATAATTATATTCATTCATTAATTCCGTATTTTTTTCTTCTGTAAGATCTTCCTTTCCATTCTCAAGACAGTCTTCTTGGATATTAATGACTATCTCTTTATTATTGCCTTCCTTATAAACATCCTTTAGTTGTTGTTCAAGCAATAGATTTTCAAGTTCTTGTTGATGTATTCTCTCCTCTAAAGAGTTCTGCTTTCCAAAGGATTGACTTTCTTTAGCTTCCTCATTTGGATGCATCTGCTTCATTTCCTTTAATCGATACTGCGCTTGCTTTAGGTCCATCTGTACACTTTCTAAAGCCAGTGTCTTTTCCCTGAGAGCATCTCTTGTCTCATGAAGCTTACCTTTTAAAGTATTGAACTTCACCCGAGCTTTAGAAAGTTGTTTGGTAAGCAACTCATTCTTATCTGTTAATTGAGAAATATTGGAATCCATTTTTTCATGTACAGAAACATCATCTGCTCTCCATAAAACTAGTTCCAGGTCTTTTCTTTCCAAAATTTCATTGTACTCATTTATAGCAGTGGCCAGGCTAGAATGGAGGGATTCAACTTCAGCTTCTAGTCTTTCTTTGCTGTGTTTTTCCTTCTCCAATTTTGAATTCAGTCTTGTATTCTCAGCTTTCAGTTCATTAAGCTGTTGCGAATACTGGGCCGTTGTTTTTGTTATCATTTCGTCATTGAGTCTTACACTCTTTTCAAAGTTAGCATTCATTTCTGTAATACTTTTAATTTCCTGAATATATTCTTTTTCCTTTCTGAGACTGTCATTTTTTATTGTGTATAATTCCTGTTTGAGCATGGCAATGTCTCTCTTCAACATGTAATTTCCATACATCACATCCTTCTTTCTTCCATAACTTTGAGAATCCTAAATAAAACAAAACAAATTTTTAGCTAGCACTCAACAAAATAACATATCATGGTTATTTCTGAAGTGAAAGAACAACCTGTACATTCATGGAATTAAAAGTTGCTGTAAGTGGATATCAAACTGGAGAAAAAGTTGAAGTAAAACCTTGAACCTTAGCATACATTTCAAAAAGTTCAAAAATTTATTTGATGTCAGGCCGGGTGCGGTGGCTCAAGACTGTAATCCCAGCACTTTGGGAGGCCGAGATGGGCGGATCACGAGGTCAGGAGATCGAGACCATCCTGGTGAACACGGTGAAACCCCGTCTCTACTAAAAAGTACAAAAAAACTAGCCGGGCGAGGTGGCGGGCGCCTATAGTCCCAGCTACTCAGGAGGCTGAGGCAGGAGAATGGCGTAAACCCAGGAGGC